GAGGTTTGTGTTCTTTATTCTTCAATATGATATATTACATTGATTTTTATATTTTGAGCCAACTTGCAGTCCTAGAATAAATCCAACTTGGCCATGGTATATAATCCTTTTTATATGTTTCTGGATTCAGTTTGCTAGTATTTTGTTGAAGATTGTTGCATTTCTATTTGTAAGGGATATTAGTCTATAGTTTTCTGATGATGCTGTTGCCTAGTTTAGGTACCAGGGTTGAACAAACATCTAAATTAACTAATAGATAGAGATTAACTAACTAATCCCTTGATGAACATTAGAAGAAAAATATTTGAATATATTTCTCAAAAGGAATTTTAGTTAAACTTTTTGGCTCCCCCTCCTCAGGGGATCTCCACAAGTCTGAATTGACTCAATGACAACTGGTAGTCTGGTGGTGGATTGAGTATCCAACATCCTGAATAAACTACTCTTCTAAAAATTTTTATTAAAACCAATTTAAGGAATCTGAGAGAGACTAGAAATATTATTGGCTAATGACAGTTAAGATGGCAACTCTGTTTGCTAGAAAGTAATATTTTTTTCATCCTTTACAACTTTACTAACATTCTCTTAAACTCTTTCCATATAGGAAAGCCCACCTGAAAAACCACACTTATATCGTAAGATTATTTAGTGATATTGAACAGAAATAAAAAGGAGTGAATTTTTTCTAAATTACGATAGTATGCATGTTTGCCATTGGTGCAGGACAATTTCAGATACCACAGAAGGAAAAAAAGCAGCAGGTTAAACTCATCTATAATCCCACTGCCCTGAGAGAAGCACTGTTTAGTCGATATCCTCTCAGACCTGATAGTTATACATGTGTACTTCTTTACTGGAATTATACTGTATGAGTTTTTTTGCAATGTTCCATTTTCATTTATCATTATGGACCATTATAGGTCTGTATCACTCTCTGATTGCTGCGTAATCTTTTGGATAATTGTACCCTGATTTTATTAGGTTCATGTGGTTTTGAAAAGACATTTTCAACAACTTTATTAACTGTAGTTTTCTACTGTAGAAAAGTACCTGTCAAATGTACTGAAACAGCTCTTTTCTCCTTTTTGGGTCGAACTATAGGGTCGCTATGAGTTGGAATCGACTTGATGGCAGGGGGTTTGGTTTTTTTTTTTTTGTAGGTGAAATGTTCACATTAGAATTTATGTGTTCCTCATAATAAAATTTTAAAAAGAAAGAAAAAAATTATTAATTAACCTATCTTGTTAATTTCTCTTAGACTTTTTCTTCTTGGCCTTGGTGATTCCTCTCACATGTAGTACTTACCTGCCTAGACCCTGTCCATTCATCATGCGTGCAAATGTGTGTCATTTTGAAGAACTTCAGTGTGCTGAGCTTTCAGTTTGGCATCATACATGGAGAGTATGAGTTTTATCAGTAGGAAGCCTGCGTTCAAATCCATGTTCTGCAACTTAGTAACTATATGATCTGGGTCCAGTCATGTAAGAGCTGGGTCCCACTTTCTTGTCTGAAAGATGCCTCTCATTGGGTTATAATAATTGAGAGAGATAATGTTGTGTAGGCTCTGAACAATGTTTGGCTTAATTAAGGTGCCTTGTAAATATTGATTCCAGAAATTAAGGGAAATGCGGAGAATGTAGATCACAGCCTGGAAAACATTTCTGAAACATGGACCAGGCTTAAAAAGTACCTAGCTTTTCAAGCCTTTTCTTAGCTTCTCGTACTTTTACCATAATGATATAGTTTACAATTGCTTGAAAAACTGTAGGAATATGAATTTATTGTTTCCCTAAAGTTTTAATAATGTTTGGCTCCTAAAAAAAGTTTCTAGGAAGGTTCAATCCAAAAGACTATTAGGAATAAAAATATCTAAGCCCTTCTCGCCGCCCCCCACACACCCCAAATCTAGATCTAAAATAAATTTCAATAATAGTCAGATTAACTGGTCTTCCTTGTAGGTATATGGATACTCTCCTCTGCCTGAGAGTGTTGCACTTCAGGATAGATCTTGAAATGTTCTTTTTGATGATGAACGCGACGCCATTCCTCTTCAATTTGTCATTCCTGGCGTAGTAGACCATATGATTGTCCGATTCAAAATGGCCAGTACCAGTCCACTTCAGCTCACTGATGCCTAGGGTATCGATCTTTATGTGTTGTATTTCATTTTTGATGATTTCCAATTTTCCTAGAATCGTAGTTTGTGCATTCCATGTTCCAGTTATTAATGGATGTTTGCAGCTGCAACATCAGCAGAAGGTCCTGAAAGTTTGACTCCCTCCACTTTATTAAGGTTGACTCTACTTTGAGGAAGTAGCTCTTCCTCAATCTTATTTCGAGGACCTTCCAACCTGAGGGGCTCGTCTTCCAGCACTGTATCAGACAGTATTCTGCTGCTATTCATAAGGTTTCACTGGCCAATGTTTTTTTGGAAGTAGGTCACCAGGTCCTTCTTCCTAATCTCTCTTAGTCTGGAAGCTCCACTGAAACCGGCCACCATGGGGGACCCTGCTGGTATTAGAAATACTGGTGGCATAGCTTCCAGCGTCACAGCAACACACAAGCCACCACAGTATGACAAACTGACAGACCAGTGGTGGATTCTGTCATAGCATCAATGACAACAGATACCAGCCTGACATACATTATGAATTTATCGTATGCGATGTAGTGGGCTAAGTGCTTTGTGTGTATCATCTTACTGAAGAAGAATCTTACTAATCCCTGATCTCAGTTAATCCTCACAGTGAATTGTGCCTCCTGCTGTGCACATTTATAGAGGAAGAAACTGAAGTGTAGGGGACTTCAGCCATTTGCCTGAGGTCACATGGGTGGGTGGGGGTGGGGCTAGTGTGTGAGTCCAGGTCCCCCAACTCCAGAGCCTAGTGCTTTGCTTCCCTGTTTTAGAGCCACTGTTGTGGGAGGTGGGAGGAGCCTCGGAAAGAATTATCTAACCAAGGGCTGTTAGCATAGCTTGTGCCCTCTCACTGTGTCCTGTTTAAAGAGTAGCATTAATTATAAGAACCACTGCCAGCAGAAAAGAGACTTATGATTAGACCGGCGTCTTTAGTTTTCTAGATCTTACGGATGCTTCAAGACCCAGCTTAGTTTCTGTCTCACAAAATCTATTTTGATCTCCTCCATTTTTTTCCTTCTCTGAGTTCCGATGACAGATGTAGTGCTTATTTTATACCTGTACTGGTTTTACACGTCTGAGCATCCCTCCTAGGATTGTAGTGTTTTAAGTTGGACAGGGTCTTAAAAGTCCATTTTTCATTCAAGTGTTTCCTAACGCACATTCTTCCACACTGAGTTTCTTGATAGTATGTTATCAGCTCAGGAAGTGTTTGTCGAATGTCTGAAAACTGTTAGCATTGTGTTATCGTTTTTTCCCATATGGCGTTATTCATAAGGTCAGTTGGATAACATCGGTAGACTATTTTAAGTTCTAGTATATTGGTGCAATAGTAGAAACTAGTTGAACAGAACAAAAACTGATTTAGATATTTTAGGCAGGGTCAGAATGAATCTGAAATGGAGGAAGATGTGACTAAATAGTTGAAATACAGAATTTGAAAACAAAACTGTAAATCATGTATAAAATGTTAAATTACTAACATTCAAACCAAATCTTACTTAGGAGAATGGAGCAAATACTTCTGTGTCCCCGCTATGTGCCAGACACTGTGATGGATATTAAAGTATCTTAATCAGTACTCATGTGATGTACTAACAGAAACTAAGGGCTTTGTAACAATAGCTAACGTCTTACAGCTCCGCATGTAAGTACCCCTAACAGTAACGCCAAAACCAAACCCATTACCATCAAATCGATTCTGACTCACAGCGACCCCATTGGACAGAGTAGAACCGCCCTGTAGAGTTTCCAAGGAGCGGCTGGTGAATTTGAACTGGCAACATTTTGGTTGACAGCTGAGCTCTTAACCACTGTGCCACCAGGGCTTCTAACAGTAAAGGGAAGTCATATAAACCTTAGGGGATCTGAGGCTCCCCTAGAAACGTGATTTTTTTTTTTTAAGTGACCTCCTTTACTTAAAATGAACAGGAATTAAAAATTCTACTCCTGAGTTTATCCATGTTTGCTATAAAAATGTTCTTCTCTCACACTTGTTCACAACCCGAGCAGAGAGGACCCAGGGCCCGTGGCACACTGAAGAATTCCCCTGGGTTGTACAGAACCTGATTTCGAGACCGTACGCCCAGAACAGATGTGCTAAGCTAGGCTTGGTCTGACTCCTTGCTGTCAGTCCACATTATGTAACGGTGGAGCACGTGTACTTTTCCTCGTTTCTTTGACTAAATTCCTATGGCGTTGTGCTTAGCTACTCTTAGGGGGTAGTAGCTTTTTCGGTAATCTTAAGGCTCTGTCCCTCTGTCTTTTGCTTTGTAGGAAAGGTTTTAATGGTAGCCAGCATAGGGTACAGTTTCACTGAGTTTTTCAAAGAGAGATATGTTAAAAGCAGTGCTATAAGACTTGAGTGTGTAGTTTTTAAATAGAGTTGCTCAACATTTTTTGAGTTAGTGATTATTCATAGGGTATATGTTTATGTCACTGAAGTATCTCATTTAGTGAGCATGTGTTAGGATTTTTTTTTTTTAAATCATTTGAATATATATCATGCATTGTATGAAGGCAAAAACACTCAAAATCATTTTCAGGCAACCTCTTCTTTGGGATTTGAAGTTGGCCAGGCTAGAGACATTCAATAATCTTGTATAGCCAGAATGATTTGGACAGGTAGGGAACAGATTTGAATGAAAAACATTCTATGGTTAAAAAATAGAAATAGATGCAGGTATTATACTAATATAGAATGTAGAGTGGGTTTAAAAGTCTTGCTTATAAAAGTTGGTTTTTCTGTAATATTTTAGGTTTCGGTTTTCCCTTATCTAGTGACCTTTTTATTTTGGTAGATGGAGCAAACCCCAATGGATAAACAAATGTTCTAACTCGGTGTTTCTGCTCTTCCCGTTTTCAGTTGTCGACCTTCTCTACTGGAGAGACATCAAGAAGACTGGAGTGGTGTTTGGTGCCAGCCTCTTCCTGCTGCTTTCACTGACCGTGTTCAGCATTGTGAGCGTGACGGCCTACATTGCCTTGGCCCTGCTCTCTGTGACTATCAGCTTTAGGATATACAAGGGTGTGATCCAAGCTATCCAGAAATCAGACGAAGGCCATCCGTTCAGGTGAGATGTCTGGAAAACAGGGCTCACGTTGGCAGTAGTATAAACAGGATTAGTACTGAGACTTCATTCTCTTGTGTGTAGTAGAGTTACAGGCATGTACGTTTTACCGCTTAAAGATAATTGCGAGCAAATTCTTGCTAAAAAGCTATACTCAACGCATTTGCTTTTGAGATGTCCTAAAGGTCATTTCAGAGGCTCATGCTGGAGAAGATTGGGTGTATCTATTCATTAGCCTAACTCTACTACTTGTTACAAATATTTATTTCTTAGAATTTTACTTTAATGGAAGTTGTATCTTTTTAACATGGTTGGGATTGGTGAGGGTTCTGTTTTCTTCACTGCTCACTTTTCATGCTGCTGCTGATGGCACATGCTCTGATACCAGCAGTACCTTTCTTTCTGCTATCATGCCTCTCTTCTTCTCTCGTGCTTTCTCCTCATGCCTGTGTCTTTTCTTAATATTCCTTCTCGATCTAGTTTTTTTTTCCCTCATCCCCTAAGGCATTACTTAAAATGTGTTATCCTTTGGAGAGCTTCTCTATTTCAGCATCTCCTCGTCTCTCAGCTGCCATCTTCTGCCCCCTTATTTTACAGGTATACTCCAGCATTATCTATCTAGTCGCTAATGGAACACACCTCAGCCTGGGTTTCTGCCCCCGCCTCATACTCAGCATATTTTTCCTCCACTTTCTTCTTGTTGAAATACAATTTACAGACAGTAAAATTCAGCCTTTTAAAGTGCACAGTTCAGCATTTTCTAGTATATTCACAGAGTTGTGCAACCATCACCACTCTCTGATTCCAGAACATTTTCATCACCCCAGAAAGAAACCCTGTACCCGTTACCGGTCACTTCCCATCACCCCCCCTCAACTGCTGGCAACCACTAACACATTATATATTTAAATGAACTTTTCTCCCAAATTTGCCCGTCTCTATCGGTAACGCCACTACCATCTCGGTTTTCAGACTCCTGGTTTTGATGTTATCTTTGTTTTTAATCTGATTTTTTTTTTTTTTTAATCACTAAATTTTGTTGTTTCCCACTGCTTTCTTAGGAGTCAGTAAACTACAGGCCAAATCCTGTCTGTCACCTGCTATGTAAATAAAGTTTTATTGGAACACAGCCACACTCATTCATTCAGAGTTAAGTAGTTGTGACAGACACTGTATGTATGGACTTCACAGCCTAAAATATTTACTGTCTGGCCCTTTACAGAAAGTTTGCCCACCCCTGGTGTAGATTCTGACCATACAGACTCCAGTTATTACCAGGTTGGCTTCTGGTTATCTCACATTACTTTAACTCTTACAGATGGTGTCTGATTAATTTTTCTAAAGCACCACTTTTGTTGTATCATTTTTATGTATAGAGACTCTCTGTGCCTTATAGGATAAAGTCTATCAGTACCTTTGCCTTGTCTGTCATCTGCCCCTCTGGGATCTGGTGTCCATTTTCACGCTGCCTTTTGTGGCTCCCCAGACGTCCTGTCTGTCGTACTTTATTTGATTCGAGATCCAGCTCTCTGAAGGTTGCCCTAACATGGGCCCAGAATGTTCCGACAATTCCTTTCCTGTTGCACTCGCCATGGCTTTGAAATGTTCTTTCTTTGTCTTGTATATGAACTTTATTTTTCTCCAAGTAGATTGTGAGCATTTAAAAACTATTTTGGTGAGACAAGTATATGTTTAGGCATGAATGAGTATGTACCTACTGAGAACACTATCCCATTGATATTAACGGTAAATTTAAATTGATTTTCAAACTTTAAAAGAAGAGACCTACTAAATTATTTTGCTTATTGTAAAGACGTGATTTATTCTATGTCAGCCACCTTTCTGTATTTCTCAAAGCTATGTAAATAAAATACTGTGGTTTTAAGGGTTGTTAAGAATGTTTGAGCATTTTTTGCTTGATATTAATAACTTGATATTTGTTAATAAATAGCATTTGTCTAACAGTGTGCTACACCATTTACTAGTAAAGATATATTTCTGGTCCTCAGAAGTTTATATTCTAGGAGTAAGAATATACAAGTATACACATGTGTATGTTTCAGGGTTGGGTATGGTAAATGCTCTGAGAACAATAGAAAAGAAAGTGTTAGAGGCACACAGGAGTGTGAGATTACATTGGGGTATGTAGGTGAGAGGGGGATCAGAAGAGGCTCTGTGTGTAGGTGGGATTGGAGGTGGCACTATTGGGAGTGTGGAAAATAAGGTTGGAAAGATTTGGGAGGACTACTGGTTGAAGAGTTGGAACCACAGAGTCACAGATGTTTGAGTCTGAAGGGACTTACCAAACTCAAACCAAACCAATTGCCATCAAGTCGAATCCTGACTCCTAGCAACCTATAGGACAGAGTAGAACTGTCCCATAGGATTTCCAAGGCTGTAAATCTTTCCGGAAACAGACTGCCACATCTTTCTCCCACAGAACGGCCGATGGGTTTAAACTGTCGACTTTTCGATTAGCAGTCCAGCGCTTTAACTACCGCACCACCAGGGCTTCAGAAGGGACTTAGGAAGGTCTGTCTCTGATTTTCACAGAGTTAGAACCGGGCCCAGAGAAGATAAATGCCTTTTGCAAGGTTACATAGCTGGGTAGTTGCATATCTCCTAACTCCCCCGAGTTCTGCCTAGATAACACTATCTGGGATTGCTCAAATATCTGACATTGACTGAAGAAGCCCTCCTGGTGCATGGTTAAGTGCTCGGCTGCTAACCAAAACGTTGGCAGTTTGAACCCACCAGTTGCTCCGTGGGAGAAAGATGTGGCAGTCAGCTTGTGTAAAGATTATAGCTTCGAAAACTCTACGGAGCAGTTCTGCTCTGTCCTGTAGGGTCACTATGAGTTGAAATCAACTCAACGGCAGCAGGTTTGGTTTTTTTGTTTTTGACATTGGCTGAAGGAATGGGTTAGGTTGTAGACAATAAATCAGAGAGTGGTGTGAGACTGGTAGACTGTTGGCAGCTTCTAAGTGATGTGGGCTTAAACTAGAGTGACGGCGTTTTGAATGAAAATGAGGAGGCATATTTGGGGCATACGCTGTGGGACAAGGAGTTGTCTGAGGACTGTTACTCCCGGTGTAGGTAACTGGAGTGGTATCCGCAGGCTTGGGGGAAGTGCCGAGGAGGGGCTACTGCAGATAGGAGAGAATGCTTCGCACATCTGATGGGGTTCTTCTCTGCCAAGATAAAATGGCTTCTTGGAAGCAATAACTGATGAAACAATTTATTGGGTTCCTACAGACTTGACTCCCCCGCCTACCCCCATCCAGTTGTCGTCTTAAATTTAACAATTCCAGCTGTCTCATTAGTATAGGTTGGGCACTTCAATGGATACTTTTGACATCCATTTGACAGTGTGATGGGCTGAGCAAGTGTAGGCGGACTTTGATGAGGACATAATATCAGTTTAAAAGTGCGTAATAATAGCTACCATTTATGGAATGCTTCTGTGCGCTTCACTCGTTCAATCTTCATGGTTATCTCCATTCTATAAATGAAGAGACTGAGGTCTAGAGGGAAGACTGACCTTCCCAAAGTTACACAGCCAAGTAAGTGGCAGAGTTTGAGATGCAAGCCAGATCAGGCTGGCTTCAAAACGTGTGCTTTTTCCGGGCTGGTTAGCTGACCATGTGTATGTACGAATTTCTATATTGTGCTTAAGTTGGAGACAGCAGGCATACATAATTACTGGTTGACGTTTAGGGGAAATCACCCCAGTCAGTGACAGTTATGATGTGTTTTGTTTCCTAGGGCATATTTGGAATCTGAAGTCGCTATATCTGAGGAGTTGGTTCAGAAATACAGTGATTCTGCCCTCGGCCACGTGAACTGCACGATAAAAGAACTCAGACGCCTCTTCTTGGTTGATGATTTAGTTGATTCTCTGAAGGTAAGTTTATTCTGTTTTGCATTTTTAACATATCCAGAATTTAAATTATATTTTTTATTTTCAAGTAAATGATAAAAACATAATGAAATCACATTACTGTAAACTTACGTTCCAAAATCTAGAATCTAACAATCAAATATTTAGGACAGAGGAAAGTGCTATTCCTTTATAAAGGAAAATAATAAATTATAAGTTCATACTTTGGGAAATCATAGAGGTTAAAAGTGAAGCGTATTTTGATGGTAAGAATAAAGATTACCTAATAGATTTAATACACACATGATTTAATCTGCTTGGCTTTGTTGTAGAGTCTAGTGCTTCATTTCTTAGTTTGCTGCATGATTTGCACACAAACATAAGCTGTTTCATACCTGGAACCCTTTCTTGGAGCGTTTATGTATTCTGAAACACCCCGACCAACCTTCAGTTGGTAATCGCTGGAAGTTTTTCTTCATTTTTGGCTTGCTCTACATAACAGCGTTACTGTCTCACTGCTCAGCAGCTCTCCCAAAGTTCAGACTGACTCAGCGAGCGCTGAGCCACCCGTGGGCGACTGGAGCTCCGAGCATCGGACCGTCGGTGCTTTTCCTGGACGTGGCCATGCCGTTTGTGTTCTCTGTGCTGTTGCCTGTCAGTTCCTGTCTGAGCCGGGTGGGAAGGTGCTGTGGTGGTGACTGTCAAGGTTTTTCTTTTCGGAGAGATCTGCACCACTTTGCAGTCTATCATGTAAGTCAGGGATATCACATAGCAGTAGGATTGGACTTCAGACTCAGTTTCTGAGCTGGTCAGAATAGGGTTAAATGCTTGAGATGCTTGTAGCAAACAGCCTTTATGAGCCAGTAGATGATACATTATTTTCAGCCATGTGCTTCTCTCATTTTATTTAGGACTTGGAACCTCAGTCACTTGCAAATCAGTGGTAGATCATTTAGTTCCTCCTTGTCATTTCCTATCTCTCGTGTAGAGTGGTCGCATGTGGTGACTTCGTCTGTAGTAGGGCTTTCAAATGATCTTATGTCAGTCTGTAGAGAAAATATTCCCCTTATGTTATTTGGCATGTTTTATTAAGTTTCAAAAGGGAGCAAATAAAAAATAGAGTAAGTGGAATTGGAGCCCTGGTGGTGCAGCAGTTAAGAGCTCAGCTGCTAACCAGAAGGCTGGCAGTTGGAATCCCCCAGCCGCTCCATGGAAACCCTGTGGGGCAGTTCTATTCTGCCCTGTAGGGTCTGTATGAGTCCGAATCAACTCAGTGGCAATGGGTTTGGTTTTGGTTTTCGGGTAAGTGGAGTTGAACCTGTCCATGTGGGTCCTGGAAGAAACCAGCTCCTATCATGGAAGCAGTATGTCTCCATGGAGCCTGACTGCAGGGATGGGACGGTGAAAGTCATTGAGGAGGAGGTTCTGGTGCTTGTAAGGTGGAGGGAGGGTGGGTGGGAACCGACCGAGAAGAAACCCTGACAGCAAAGGACCATGTTTGAATGGAGCTGACAGAGATGGGGAAGGGCAGACTTAAACACAAAGGCATCTTGAACCTTGATGGGGAGAGAATCACTGTTTTTACAGACTCAGTAAATATGGCAGCAGATGTAAACCAGAAGTCATCCTTCACATGTGTACGCTGTAGCTGCAAAGGCAGGTCTATGTCCATGATTTAACATGACTTTTGAGAGAAGAGGCATTCTTGAAGACTTCTGTTTAAAAACAAAGCAGTTTGATCTCGGAATGATTTGTTACATGCCAGTTTCCACCAGTTTCAGTTTAAAGTTGATGGTTATGATGGTTAGAAGATAGTTAATGTAGGTGTGGAAAGATTTGTCGAAGCCTGGAGGAGGGAGAAAATAAAGCATTAGAGGAGGCCTGATTGGATACTTAGAAGGCTCTTCGGTAGTCCAGGTGATCCCTCTGACCACGTTCTTGAAGGTCTTCCTGGCGCACCCAGTGGTTCTGCCACAGAGGGACTTGTTAGACCTTTTCCTGATGTCATTGTGAGCAGTACAGATTTCATCCGTATTTCCTCAGAGTACAAGTACTCCGCAGGTGCAGAGCAGTTGCTTAAAATGTCTCATTTAAAAAAAAAAAAGAAGCTGATAAAAACTGGATTCCATGACTCTTGGCTCTTTATGAAAATGACCCAGAGGACGGGCTCTCTGTTGGGAGGGGCATCTGCCTCCTGTACGGGGCAGCTCCCACCCCTGCGGTTTTTCTGTCTGGAGAGAAGATGTTTTAAAGGTTTTTTTTTTTCCCTGGGAGTGGGCTCTGTATTAGTTTTGTGCCTTTTAGCCACAGCAGCTGCTAGGAGAAGTCATATTCTTGCACTAAAGCAAGCAAAAAACGGATTCTTCAGCTCCAATTCTTTTTTTTTTTAATTTTTTTTTAATTTTTTTTTGCTTTTTAACATAAAGGGAAAATCTGTTTGCCCTGCTGGACTTTTTTTTTTTAATTCTTTATATTTAGATTTTAAGTGAAAATTTGCTAATAAATAGCCACAGTCTTTCTGGTTTCTACGTGAATTTGTGATCTTGTTAATTAATGCTTTTTTTTTTTTTAAATTATAGGAACCAGCTTTTAATTGAAATTACTTTGATTTTGTATTATTTCTAACTAGGAAAATGGAAACCCTCCTAATCTCAAGAAAATACAGTGGAAATTATTTGGGGCATTGTATTAGGCTTTGTGGCTTGTATAAATTAATAGCTTTCAAACAAAAATTTGAAAAAGTTTTCGTATAGCCCACTGTCTTCATAAATGGAAGATCTGTTTGGTACCTTCGAATTTATAAAATCTACAAATTCTAGGTTCTAGGTCATAATTAACCATTATTTCTACTTGAAGCCTTCTTCCTCCGAAATTGAAAAAGCATACGAACGTGTTCTTTTCCTTGCTTATTACCTTTTAGGGGGCAGTGTGAGGGAGGGAGCCTGTTCTTTCAGATGTGACCACAGAAGTAGCCAAATCCCGAGGCTTACCAGTCTCGGGGACCTGACGTGAGATGGCAGGGTCAGCGTGCCTGGTCCCTGCCTCCTCCTGGTGCTGGACGCGGGCAAATACAAACCAGATGTGTTCTGCAGATTTCTCCTTTTATGTTCCTCTGGGGTAGTTCCATTCGCTTTGCTCCTTTGCAGTTGACTACAAGCTTCTGAGACCTAGAACAGATTTTAAGTGTTCATAGATGGAGTGACGGCTCATTTCCGAAAGGGTCGATCCTAGTCAAATTGTATGGGTAGAATTGCGGATTTGTTTTAAAAGTTGTATTTCCTGAAGTGGGTTGTTGGCCGGAGCGCCAGGAATGGGGTAGGGGAGGAGGACTAATGAAGGGGAAGAGAAGGAGGAGTGCACGCTGGTAGAATCGAGAGAGCTGCGTGTGCATCCCTTTCCTGTGGGATCTAGTGTGTGTCAGTTATTAACGTCTCTGAGAAGCCCCACAGAGAGAGACTGGAGTAACTTTATTCAACCTTGTTTACATAACACTCATTCTTGCCCCAGGAAGCTAGTGTACTTTGAGAAACAATGTGAGACTTAAATGGTAAGATAGTTTTTTAAACAAATGTAAACCACCTAGTTAAGGTTTGGAGTCCCTGCTAACCAAGGTTGGAGGTTCAAGTCCACCCAGAGATGCCTCAGAAGAAAGACCTAGAGATCTACTTCTGAAAAATCAGCCATTGAAAACCCTCTGGAGCACAGTTCCACTCTGACACACATGGGGGTCACCGTGAGTCGGAATTGACTTGATGGCAACTAGTTTTTGGTTTTTTAGTTAGTGTTTAATTTGGTTTCTGTAATTGATCTTCTCAAGGGGTCTATGGTAATAAGCGTTCTTACTTTAAAACTCAATGTTCTCAATCTAGTCTGCCTGTTGAGAGTCGCCTGGGTAGCTGGTAAAATTTATTGATATCTGGTGGCAGGGGTGGGATGGGAGAAGGGGCGCTTGGGGTCTCATCTCCTGAAATTTTGGTTTAATTTTTCAGAGGTACTGCCTGGAGAATTGCTGTTTTGAAAGTTGTGGCATTAAGCTATAAACCCTAGATTGTAGTTGTGGGTTTTTTTCACCTCTGATTATAAAAGAAATGCACACGGCAGTCCCTACTAGGCTCAGCTTTGGGGCTTCCTGAGTAAGGCTCTGGGGTTTCTTAGAGCAGAGGCTTCCTGCCTTTTGAAATCCCAGATGCCAAAAAGAAGCCTCAGATTTTTACTTACGAAGGACTGAGATCAGGTGCTTTAGGCAGAAGTTCTTATTTTCTGTAATATGGCTTTGAAATGGTAAAGCCTATTCTGTATGATAGTTCTGTGACTTTCCGTGTAAAATTATCATGTTAAAATTGTTTGCAAGAAAATTTCTAGAACATTCCAGAATGCAAATGTCAGATCTGAAAGTGAGCAAAAAAGACATGAGCTCCAGAAATAGCTGACCCAGAATAACATCGAAATCTCATCCTCGGGCTCTTTTGCCATTATTAGTGTGCACATTTTGACAGTTTCCTTTCAGATTTCTGTGGCTCGCAGAAAAATTAGATGGGAGAGGGACTGGGGAAAATCTGGAAACAGTCACAGTGATGCTAACCAGGAGGATTCTGGAGGTACCCACGGAGGTCAGATAATCGTTCAAGAATGCAGAGGTCGTGAACTGGGCAGAGTTGTCTGCGTGAAGTCTGCAATTTTCTTAAGTGTCCCTCCCCCACACCATTTTCCTTAAAGGTGCCCCTCCCAGTGGAGACATCATCCAGTATGTCTCTGCAGAGCCCTTTAAATAAGGTCTGTGATACACAGTTAAGTTCAGTTCGCCCATTCCCCTGGAAGAAAGTACACAGGCCCCTGCCCTCTGTCCGATGGTGTTTAATTGGCCTTCATCACACTCTGGCCCTTTACCCCAGGCCTTGTCACTGCCCACGGAGGAGCGTTGGCCTCCATAGTACGCTGCTCTGGCTGTGACCCTACACGGTATTTGTGTGGAGGTTGTAGGTCCCAAATGAGAGCTGCTCATTTTAAAGTGGGGTTTCTTGGCCCTTTTCTGCCTGTGTGCACAAGCTGGGTGACGTGCGTGTTTGGGATGAATCCCGGTAATAATGGCTGCTCCCTGGGTGGCTTCCCAGGGGTAGCAGAGCCCACTCTGGAGTCGGCTAAAGCTGAGCTCACTAGTCAGTTGTGTGACCTCTGGTCTGGCAGCTTGCTTCGTCTTCCTGTGTCTCGGTTGCCTCTTCTATGAGGATAACAGCAGTACTGGACTTGGGAGGTTCCTAGGAGGGTGTCTGACCCAGTGCATACAGAGCACAGCCGTGGGCATGTATAAACGGTCGAAAAGGAAGCCGTTAGCTGCTGTTGTCTGTAACGGTGCCGGTGATCGTGCTGTGGCTAGAATGCTGGTTCTTAGGCCACCTCTGTGCCATCTCCTGCTGCTTTCCCTGGAAATCCGTATCCAGCGTTTCTGTTTTGGGCCGCCGGAGTTTTAAATTTTCTCCAAACTTAGCTGCAACATTTAAAATGCCTGTGATAGCACATAAAAACGTGAGTTCTGGTTTCCTTTTAAAACGGGAACATTTGGCAGCGTTTGGCCTGGAGGGGTTGCATGGCAGCCGTCTGCGGAGCTGGGTATGGCCCCCCAACCAGGGATAATGCGGGTGCCCCCCCAGCCTCCCTCATGCACTGTGTCACCTGCCTGGCCCCCACACACTGAGACTCACCTGTGGTCTGTTTGCCTCTGGATCACCTGGCTTTTAGACAGAAGGTCCTTGAAGAGGTGGTGACATAGGGCTCCTTCGACGGCCCGGGTGGGAGTCTGGACTTGTTTCCACGTGTGTTTGCAGCATCCTCGTCAGCAGCCGTGCGGTGACCGGATGGGGACCTTGGTTCAGCCTGTGCGCATCCGTGTCAGAATTCTGTGGTGTGAGGTGTCCGCCTTGCTAACTCGCCTTCTTTTAAAATGCAGGAGGTTGACTCTTTTCCCTTCCGACTCGTGGTTGGCGGTGTATGAAAATAGTTCTGTCACTTTACAGTAAATGCACTCAAGTGCAGAAGTTATATTTAGCTTCTGCAGTAGGAACGGAGAACCTGTGAGAGGGAAGAGGCGTGCTAGCTGGAGCCGGGCTGCAGACCGGCCACTGGAGGTTCCGAGGCAATTGCTGAGGACCGTGTGCACTTCACTGTCGGTGTTCACTTGGCAGGTGCAGCTGGGAAGACAGCCTGGCATTGACTTAGCTGAACGTTAGTTAAATTCAGCCGTAGGGGTAACACAAGCACTGCTATTTGTGGAACCGACAGTTGGTAGAGGAATCCCAGGCGTGTTTCTAGCCTGCAGTAAGGGTGCTTGTTAGGTGCCGTTGAGTTGGTTCCGACTCACAGCCACTCTCTGTACAACCGAACGAAACACTGCCCGGTCCTGCGCCATCCTCGCAGTCGTTGATGTGCTCGAGCCCATTGTTGCAGCCACTGTGTCAGTCCAGCTTGTTGAGGGTACTTCCTCTTTCTTCCTGATCCTCTGCTTTGCCAAGCATGATGTCCCTCCAGGGACTGGTCCCTCCTGATAACATGTCCAAAGTACGTGAGACTAAGTCTCGCCATCCTTGCTTCTAAGGAGCATTCTGGCTGTACTTCTTCCAAGCCAGTTTTGTTCGTAGGTACTTAAGTAGAGTTTAAATACCTTTGTTAATGCTCGGTACCCAGCTCGCAGTAGGCATTCAGGCAGATTTTGTTGAATGAGTGAATACATGTGAGAAAGACGTGCTTTAGATCAGGGGTCAGCAAGCTGCTGCCCACTTGGCTCACAGCCTGTTTTTGTACAGCCTTGGAGCTAAAAATGGTTTTTACGTTTTTAAAAAGTTGTAAAAAGAACAGCAAAGAATAATATGACACAGAGACACTGTGTGGCCCATAAAACTGTCCTTCGCAGAAAACGTCTGCTGATCCTTGCTTTAGATAACTGAGGTGCCCACTCCTCTCTCCGAGCCTCTTTCTGTTTATACCGTGTTATGTGCGCCTGAAGAATCGCCGTAGATGGGGGCCTCGTGGTGATGTTTGTTACCTACTGAACAGGGCAGAGTGGCCTGCAGACACAGGAAGGCGTTCAACAGGAAGCAGGGGAACTGTGATGATGATGTTAACAAAACCCAGACTGACTTTGCTCAGACGTCTTCAGGAACTGCTTAGAACATGATTCCTTGAGCCTTCGTACTGTGCGATGTCACAAAAGCTTAGAGCTGGAAGAAACTTAGAAATTCTCTTGTTGAACCATTTCTTCAGTAAACTAAAATGTAAAGAAGAAACAAGGACTTCTCCAAAGTGAAATCACGTCTTAGAAGCGAGCCTTTCCCAAACTGCCTGTTTGATCGTAAGAGACACCCCAGATTCTGAGGCCAGGAGTACTGAAGTCGGAGGGCTTAGTCCATGGCGGTCCCTGGCCCCTGGTGGGAACAGTGTGATAATATGACCAAGGCAGGTTATTAGCCTTTCTCTTCTTTAGTGTCTGCATCGTTATAGAAGTGATCATAGTACCCACCTCAGATGGTTGTTAAGATGGGCTTATATTTGTAAAACATTTAAACTAGTGCCTGGCACATAATAAGCACTGCATTAGCGTTTCGTTAAATGTAAAGAAGGCCGTGACTGAAAGAACAGTAACGGTTAGTTTTATTACATGAGTATAGGTTTGAGGAGTCCTCGTCCCCAGGGTTGTTTGTGGCGGTTAACACACAGTTTCACCGGGCGGGCAGCACCTCTACTCGTTCCCATGCTAGAGGTGATGATGTTTTGGGACCTGAAACCTCGTGTCTCTGATAATAGGTACTCCCAGCTCCTTTGTTGCTTATCCAGGTGTCTGAGATTTTAGTGTCTGAATTCTTCAGCTCATATGTCTTCAAGTACTTCATTTTTAGTACTTTTAAATGAATGTTAATAGCTAATCCTCGTAATACCATTTCCGTCTGCCTGTTGAAAAGCTAAATGATATTAGAGTGGAGGGATGAGGTATGCCTTTGGCACTTTTCAGATCTCAGAGAAAACAGAATCAGCTACCTGTGTAGTTCAGAGAAGACAGAGCAAATCTGTCTATTTAATTTGGATTCTGAAATTTTGGATTGAGACTGGTAAAACTTAGAAGTGAAATATTCATAGTACTTCACCAAATCTCCATATGCCTCTAGTAGGGTGGCATACATACAGGATGCTTTTATTTGAAAACTTGGTGAAGAAGCTTTACTTGAATTATGTTTTTAATAGGCTAATGTTATTTATTTTCTTACAGTTTGCAGTGTTGATGTGGGTATTCACCTATGTTGGCGCCCTGTTCAATGGTCTGACACTACTGATTCTGGGTAAGTATGCAAAACCATTGGAATGAAGAATTGCACAATAGGTTGTGTGCAGATTGCTTAAGACATTTTAGTGGAGAATATTCCTACAAGGGAAAATAGAGGAAGTACGTTTGAGGTTGTGATCTCTTCAGATAAATTGCTGCCAGTATACTTGGTTTACTGAAATGCTACTTCAGTTCCTGAAGACTGCTCCAACGAACACTGGGGAACAGACAGAGTGGCCTTATTTGATGTTACAGGCGTAAATCTAACTATCCACGTATGCCTGTGTTTTATAAAGTCTGTGGGCTGGGATTCGAAGCCAGGAATGGCTCCCAACAGCAGATTCGTGCAGGAGATGCTTGTGTATGTATCCATTCATTCAGGAGCACTGCCTGCTTATCTTACGAGTGTTGCCACTCTTAAGTTTGATGGTTTGATGGTTGTTAGTGTTTGTTCCCTGAAACGTACCAGCCCTTTTTAATGGTGGTGTATTTCCCTTTTCAGCCCTGATTTCACTCTTCAGTGTTCCTGTTATTTATGAACGGCATCAGGTAAATTCCTTAACCGCAGATGGAAGAATGTAGAGCTGACTGTTATGTAGGATTTATACATGTATCCGCTGGTTTCCAGAACCTCATGGGAAATGTGATGGCTTTTTAAGCCTTCATTTGTTGGAACAAGACAGGGTGGTTCCTGCGATTCTCTGGCAGTGGTAGTTGCCTAATAACTCCTTTGTACCTCTCTTCCAGGCTCAGATAGATCATTACCTAGGACTTGTGAATAAGAGCGTTAAAGATGTTGTGGCTAAGTAAGTGTTTCAAATTTGCAAGTTTATAACTAAAGGCTGAGGCATGCTGGGCTTTGAGCACAGTGCAGGATTTCCGGATCACGGGCATCATGAGTAGCAAATCTTCATCAGACCCTGTGTGTGATGTCACGTTACCCAAAGGTTTTTTCCTGTCATTTGGACCATTAATTTCTAGGTTTTCTGTGAGTATTTAAGGCTTTGTTTAAATCTACTCTGGGAGGCCAGGGTGGCAAGATTACAGCCTGTGGTTTGGCAGCTCTGGGTTACCATTTATTGTGCAAGCTGGGTAGGTCTTGAAGGACAGCATCTTTCTTAAGAAGCAGAAAACAAAATACTTAAAATTTTAACTCTTTACATGACATTGTCTCCTTCCTTTTCTCATTTGTAGAATCCAAGCGAAAATCCCTGGATTGAAGCGCAAAGCTGAATGAAAAAGTCCACGATAGTTAACGATAGGAGTCCATCTGCAACTGGGGTATTCACTGATCACGTGGGGGAGGGCCGGGGAAGAACGGGACCTTGACGCTGTAGTGCGGGTTCACAGATCTTTATTTTTAGCAATGCAGTGTTTGAGGGATATTACCTGTCTTGACTGCCCTGTGTTCATCATCTTAAGTATTGTAAGCTGCTCTGTATGGATTTAAACCGTAATTATGTTTGTTTTTCCTGTGTGACGAGGCACTGGTGAAAGATCTGAGGAAGCTGTACGCTACACTTTGTCGCAGGTAGTCTTGCTGTATTTTGGGAAGTTGCCGAGAAAGTGGAGCTGAAAAAAAAATAACCCTTTTCACAGTTTGTGCACTGTGTATGCTCTGTGTAGACTGATGCAGATTTTCTGAATGAAATGTAGACGAGATCATACCACTAAGGCAGGCATGAGGAAAGCTTGCCTTTCTGGTATGTTCTAGGTGTATTGTGAATTATACTGTTATATTAATTGCCAATATAAGTAAATATAGATTATATATATATCTATACATAGTGTTTCACAAAGCTTAGACCTTTCCCTTCCAGCTGCCCCACAGTGCTTGATATTTCAGAGTTGTTGGTTATATGTGTTTAGTTCCAAAGCACATAAGCTAGAAGAAGCAGCTGCGTTTCTAGGAGCACTACCACCTGTTTTCCGTGTGAAGCTACGCCGTGCACGTAGACTCCTCAGCATAAACTTCATCGCACAAACTCACCGTAGTTAATTTTGTCACAGACTCTGAATCTATGGACTGAATTTAATGCTTCCAAAAACTTTGTTTGCAGATATCAAATGTTGTTATGTAAGAAATTATAAACTGAAGATTTATACAATTGTGGTTTAAGCTGTACCGAACTAAATCTGTGGAATGCATTGTGACTTGTAAAAGCGAAGTATCAATAAAGCTTATAGACTTGAAGTTCGCTGGTTTCGTGAAACGGTTGCAGATTAAAAGTAGCCACAAAGGGTAAACTTTGCTTCAGCCGCGGAGTGGTCGCTCGGGGTAGCGCGGCTGGCTCCCGCTTGCAGCGCAGCTGGTTTGGAAACGGAAGTCGACAGAGAGCAGGTTTACATAACCAGGTTTATTGGACACATACCAAAATGTGTTTAAATCACGTTTTTTTCTATACTTTGATAGTGGAAAATAAATTCATGCACCAATATTTTAACATATAGTAGGATATAGTGCAGGATTTATGAATAGACATAAAATCATACCATATACATGTTTACAAATAAGATTTAGGAAGCTTTCTTGACACATAGACACTGTTGCTCTTAAGTACAGTTGTACATATCACCATGGGTCGGTTTGTTCTTCCATGTGGTTATCTGAATGCAAGATCAGTCAGTATGAAAGGTCAGTAGTATAACATAGGCAGACATGTGACCACTCAGCATCACCATGGTTACAGGAGACAGGACACAGAACTAGGACTGCACAGGGACTCGGGTTATGGGCCCAGCAACCTACCTATCAGTGGATTAATGTAAGGCATTAATAGACTGGCATATAAAAATAGCTGTGAGCAACCTCGTCCATTTGGAATGCTGAAGCACTTCCGTGGTAACAGTTAATCTATTGTTTAACTGAAAAGGCTTCGTTTCACCTTTTTCCTAAACAGGTAACTGCAAATAGCCGATAGCTCCAGATCCAGACTGGAAGGACCAGTCGGTGTGTGTGTGCTCTGGGTCGCCAGCCCCTCACCCCCTTCTGCTGCGTTCAGCGCGTGCTGCTGGCTGCCTGTGGTCAGTGGTCAGTGGAGTGTGAAGTCTGGTTGATATCGCCCAAGCTGCATTCTATTACAGAACAAACTCCGAGGAACTAACTCGAGATGATTTTGTCTTATACTTTTGATCCAGGATTGCTTGGGCTTAGGAATTGTTTGCAGAGATTTTCTATCTGGACTTGACCTCACAGGTCACCTGAAGCAAGCACTGGAGTCGAGTCCGCACCCCTGAAGGTGGTGAGCCAAGGTGCATCCTCGGTCCCCTCACTTACCACCTTCGGAGCTTTAACGAGAGAAGGAAGCGCGTCCTCCTCCACGGGGGCTTTTTTTGTTTATGTTTTTGCCCCCATTTTGTAGCAGAGGTTTGCTTCGCTTGAATCCTATTTTGGATTTTGTGGATTTGGCCCTCAGTCTAAAGGAAACTCATTCTAGCCCCTCCCTCCTGAACTTGTTTGTCTGCGGCTCACCTTCCCATACCCCCGGTTCCCCAGCAGGTGACTGATGCCCTTCATTCTGGAAGCTTGACATGACGCAGGACTTGACAGACAGCACACGTGCTGAGGCCCGGGACCCCTCCTCAGCCGGGAGGTTAGCACCACGTGTAGAAAGCGGGTCCTCGGGGTGAGACAGCAGCCCACACGACAGGAAACTCTGAAAGGCACTTAATGGATATACAACTCTACAAATAAACATTAAAAAATTAAGTTTCTCAACTTGTTATACATGGCTCATTTGGTTTTTGAAAGCTAAATGTGGAGAACAGAGGCCATTGATACTTCTAGTACTTTCAGTGCATCTAACTTAAACTGCCTTGTTTGTCAGGAGATGAACATTGGTAAAGTAGATAGAAACATAATAGCAAGACACCTTTTGTAAAAGTTCTGATGCAAATTAAAAGCTACATACTGGTTTAGGGTAACTGAGGCGTTCAACTGTCAGTGGGCGACCTTATCAGATAGGATTTCTGTGTCAGTTCAGTTACTACGTGTCATGTGCAGTCTCTGGAGCCAGAGGCAAGCAGTGGTAACGTCTTAGAACTTGACCTTCCTTCCCGGCGCCACCACCTTGGAGAGTCCGGCCTGTGGAAGTGGCCGTCCTGCACGCTCCCGGCCTATGCGTCCGCAGCACGGCAGGCGGCCCGGCGGTCCCGGGGAGGGGCCTCGTCTGCCTCTGGAGTGGCTGGGCAGCGGCGGCAGTAACTTCAGAGATTCCTGGTGTTTACAGACATCGCCACACAAAGACACTAGAAAAGTAGACCAAACAGTCACTGCGTGGCTGGATACCACGCTTCTATCAAGTGGCAAAGACCAGTAAGCGTCAGGCCCATGGGCTGACCATCTGGATTTCAGACAGCCAGCCAGTGATCTTGCCACCAGTCAGGTCTGCTGCTACCCCTCTGGGTGTGTACGGGTGTCTGTGTGTCTGTCTGTCAGCAACCTGAGTGTGCTGCATGTGAGGATACCGGGCGGCCTGTCTTCACACTCGCTCTTGTTGCTGCTGAAAAGGTTTTATCGGCTCCACTTGAGTAGGAGAGCCCTTTTAGTGCTGGGCACAGCCAGGGATCAGAGCAAGCTCTCAGGCCTACAGCGGTCTGGGAGCTGCATGTGAATGTCAGCCCACGCCTTTTCTACTCCTCAGAAGCCACCTCGTGTCTCCCGCACTGGGGTGACCAGGCTGCGTGTGTCCCATCCCTAGCCAGTTCCCAGTTTGCCTGGTGCTGTCTTGAAGGGGTGCGCACCCTCCACAGGGAGCCGCTGCCTGCACTATCCCGAGAGCTCTGAGTGCCAGCAGTCGTTGGCACGGCGGGCTGGAGGCGGGCTCCCAGGCAGGCTAGCGGAGACCATCCTCGGAGCCGTTCTCCACACAGTGCGTCGGGGTGGGAAGTGGGCTGCAGCTGTCTACAGGCGCCTTTTCCACGCGCTGAGGCCACTAGCGAGTATCTAGGCTGTGTGGATTTGTTCCTCATCCCCTCAAATTTTTGCGTGGGTTGAATAGAAAACACTATTCACGCTACAGTAAAGCTCCTCAGTTCTGTCAGATGTGGAGACACTGACTGGTTAGAATGACCTAGTCCTGTTCCTCCACCCCAAGGGAGCCTGCGTGGGGATGCTGGAGAGACTGGTCACCTGGGGCAGGCTGGTAGGGGTCCCCCAGGAACGCCTCACAAGAACACTGCACCCATTTCACAGGGAACCACGGTTGAGGTCAAAGCAGCCCTAGCTCAGAGGTCCCGAGACCTGGTTGAGGTTCTTACTGGCACTGGGCCTGATCACGTTACCTCCCAGCTCAGCTCATCTGTCAAAGGCGGGTAACACCTGCCCTGCTTGTTTCTCATGGTGGCTGAAGCTCAATATCGTGGGTTAATCATACATCTTAAGGACTTGAATCAATTGGAAGTTCTTAAAAGGACACCATGGATCAAGGCCATTCGAACCTCCTGATCAGTCATTGTAGTGACGCCGAGGCTGTCTGTGCCAAGCGCTTCCACTGACATCCGCCATCTTGAGCGTCCCACCCACCTGCACACCCCCTCCCTCAGCAGTGCTCAGACCTGCTCATCACATGCCCTTGGCTTCCTGCCAACCCCAAGGCAGCTGTAGTTGGGACCGGGCCTGACAAGATCTGGGCTGGGAGTCTCCGGAGACAGAATACCTTCCACTGGGAAGTCTTGTCGCTGCACTTCTGTTTCCGTCAGCCCCGCCCCCCGGGGGACCCTGAGGTGGGAGGGACAGTCAGGGCCACGCATGTCAGGTAGGTACCTGGAGTCATCTCCCCCAGCGCTGACCACGTACTTGTCGTCGTGAGAGACGCGGATGTTCGTCACGTGAGCCGAGTGACCAAAGTAACGCTTATGCTTGGCCTGTGAGCAGAAGGAATGGAGGGAGCCGGCTGAGCCCGCGCGCCTCCCGACAACCACAGGCCGGGCCCCCTGCTCTCCCCTCCTCCCAGAACCTTCCTTCACTCATGGCATTCCCACGTGGTCTGCACACCCCGCCAGCCAGCCTCTCCTGTCGCATTCTTACCCCGCCCGTGGCCATTCTGTCGCCCTCCACCCTGCCTTCTCCCGGCTTCCACGACCTGCCCTCCAGGTGGACAGTTAGGCATCGCCACAGGGCCACCGGGTGTGGCGGCTCCTGCTGACCGCAGAACAGAGTCTGGAGGCCCTGCGGGGAGGCTTCCCACGAGGACTCACAAACTTTTCTGTGCAGGGAAAGTCAAAGAGCTTGACCAGCCCAAAGTCATCTCCTGTGACGACGTTCAGGCCAGCGTGGGTCACACATGCGCAGTTGACGTCAGCCTTGTCTGCGTTCCGGGGCCAGATCCCAATGACTTCGTCTCCCAGAATGCTGCTCCAACAGGAAGACGTGTTAGAAGGAGCATGTGGGGGGCCTTTCAGCAGCCCCTCCTCCTCCAGGAATAAGCAGGGAGAGGGCCATGTGACCCGTAATTCAGGATGGTCGTGGGGCTCTTCTGGCTTGAAAAGCATCTGTCCCTCCCCCTCTGTACACTTGGCCCAGCCCCCTGACATCCCAAAAAAGAAAAGTTACCTGCACCCTTGATTCCCTCCCTCTAACCCATAATACTGAGTATGTGTGTGGTGGGGAGGGGCTCCTTCCAGCTCAGGCTGGATGAAGCTGGTTGCCTTGGATTGTTTCCGATCCTGCTCAGGGCGGTTCTAGCTCCCCCCCCCACCCCCACCCCCCAGTCCCCTTCCCCTGCTGACTGGAGGCCTTCCCAGCATGTGGGCTTGGCCACGAGGTGGGAGATGATGGTTTCCCTCTGAACTTGGAGAACGGGGTTGGGGACTTGCCGGATAAACTACACACACAAAAGAGATGCTGCGTTTCAAAAGCTCAGCTCAGGTAAAAGCCAGTGACCCCAACTGGTACCAAGACACTCTCCACCACCACCCCACTCCCAAACAAAAAAAAACCCCGTTGCCATCAAGTCAGTTCTGACTCGAGTGACCCTACAGGACAGAGTAGAACTGCCCCCTAGGGTTTCCAGGGAGCTGCTGGTGGATTTGAACTGTCATCCTTCTGGTGAGCAGCCGAGCTCTTAACCACTGCCCCACCCCCAAGGCGGCTCTATTTCTGAGCTCCTGCAGATGTTCTCTGGCCATTCACAAATGGATGAGCCTGGGGCAAGACACTCCCTGTGACCTTTTCCCTGGAAAGTGTTCTCCTCC